TCTAATTTCATATAAAAATTTGGATAAATTGTGCTTTTAAAAATAACTATGCAACTATGATAATAACAGGTTGTTCCTTAAAATATTTAGTTAAAGAGTTAATTAAATAAAGTGTCACAAATAGTTTAAAAATATGGAAGGGCCATTAAGCTATAAGGGTATCTGATTAAGCGGAAAGCAATAACACGACTTATTTCTTAGATCCTATACATCGTTCTTTTGGTAAAAATTTATTAATTTTTATTACTTCGTTATACTTTCATTTCCAGCCTTTTTTCTAAAATTTCTTCCTTTCCTAAAAATATTTTATAGTTTTATGGGTAGCAATCTCCGCCCGTAACCTTGAAACCAACAAAAACAAATTCGAAATATACAACAGAAAAAAAACTCTCAAAGTATATCACATAGAAACGTGTTTTCTAGAAACTGTTTTCCAAATTTTGTGGATAAATTTTATCAATGGAAACAAAGTAGCAATTTTCGAAAAACCTGACCCATAAGGAAAAATCGTATAAGATGTTTTATGTTTATTAATGTTAACTATTTTTGTTCAATTTTCTCTTTTTTAATCGTGCTTTTTCTTTTTCAAATAAGAATCCTGCTATGGTTCAATTGAGCACTCTTGACGCAACACTTTTGTAAAAATGCATTTTGTATTCTGATCATATATAATTTAATTTGAAGCCGTCTTGCGCTTATAGAATATTTCCTATCGAGTTCTAAAAAAATGGTTTTAAAAATGTTTGCAAAAATTTACATTGTCAAACTCCACAGTTGATTTTATGTTAAAGATAAAAATCTATGAAATTGCTTATTGTTTTCATAAATATCATTTGTCATTTTTATTTAAGACTACGAGAAGACGATTCGGAATCATGCTTTATACAAAAACTACCTCAGACTTTTATTTTTGAAAAAAAAAAAAACTAGTTTCTAGCCATAACTTAATGAATAAATACTTCTTTTTTGAACTTCTTTGGAACAAAGTGAACATTAGATTGATCAGCGACTAGTTTTCAATGTTTTAATTTAAGAAACCCGATGTTCAGAAAATAAAGCTGTCGAAGTGCTGCCATTAACTCTTAATATCTTTGCAAGCGGCCGCTTTCATTTTCTAACACGCCGATAAAACTACCTTAACTTTCTCAACTGTATCTCACTGTTTTGCTCTGTTTAAAAGAAGTTCTAATATTACACATATCATAAGTTCATCTTCATGCCTGATATTTTATTCAAAGAACTTTGTAGACATTCAAAAAATTGTTTTTGAGGTAGGTTGGTGGAAAGAGTACACACAATTTTTTAACTTTCCGATTCTTTTATTTTTTCAAAAGTGTTAACAGGATTGAAATATTTTTATCTTTCTTTGTTTTTTGCTACAGCTTTTTTCTTTCCATTATCAAGCCAAGAATGCCTCTCAATTTCTTCCAGTAGTCGTTATGCGAAAAAAACTATCGACTTTGTTCACGAGGATCTTTTTTTCTGAACTATGAATTAAAAATTTGGCGCTATTACACATAATCATTGCTCTTATTTACTAACTTCATGCTGTATTTAAAAACCAACTTTTTCATTATTTTCCTTTTTTGAAATTTATTCCATTTCTTGACGTAATTTTTACTGTAAACATTTTTTTGAGAAATGTTGACACAAACAGAAAACATAACTGACCAGCACTGAAAACTTGATGACTTCAATTGGCAAGTCCGTTGTACAGAACATTACGACAATCAGAATGCTGCTATATTCCGTCATTTTTGTTGGCAAACGGCTCATTTTTCAGCATGCCATTTCTCACTATTATTTCATCGATTCTTTTCGTTTGCCCAATTTAAGAAAAACTTAAGCTAAAATTGAAACAAGACTGCTCGTATCAGGGCAAAGCCCTGAATGTTCCGACTGCCTTTTAAGGTCTATGAAGCAGTAATAACTGGAAAAAACTTAATGAAAAAAAAATGAATTTTTTTTTTTTAATTTGAGATTTTTTGTGAAAACTATCCCCCCACACGCCATATAGAGTACAAAGTGATAAATTTTGCTCCTAGTAACGAAACAATTATGGCAAATAAGCTTCTTCAACCAATTTGGAACGATTTATTAGACGGATTAAATCTCCGCTTACGCGTTAATAGCGCGAATTAAATCGCGCGTTAATTGTCCCAAATTGCCAATCTTTAAACCCCCATAACTTTATGAAAAATGATCACAGGTGAAATATCTTTTCAATTTTAAGCTCAAGGCAACAATATCTTTTGAATGATAAAAAAAATTCCGTCAAAAATGGCTAGTTAAAAAGTCGAAATTTGTCTGTAGAAAAAAAAAACCCACCCGAGCACAAATATTCCGTTACTTTCGTATCGCAAGTCGGAACAATTACCACTAGCAATATTCCATTGAAATAACTTTTTGAACGTATCGTTGTTAAACAAATTTGTGGAATGAATACAAAGTTTCTATTACTTTCTGACTTCTTTTTTTAAGTCCAAGATTGAAAATTTTTTACCCAATTGAGATTTAATTTTTTTTTCCGCTCTTTTGTTGCCATAGATGCCACAATTTTCATCTTGCTTAGCTCTAGAGCAAATATAAATATATTTGTATCTCGAATTTGAAAGCTTAGATTCAGATATAATTTTAAGCGAGGTTTCTGTTAAACAGATGATATGTGAACATAGGGCCAATTGCTCCATCTATTTCTTGAAATTGTGTGGAGAAGAGGGAACTCGAGATAGAACTTATTTTTTGTTTGAAACAAGGAGAACAGTTTAGATGATTTTCCCTTCCTGTCTTCTTAGCCATTGAGACTGTATAAAAAGTTTTTTGAACGGTTTCTTCACTTCGCTGAAACGACATTGTTATAGTGAAGATATTTGTGTCTTAAGTGTCCATAGTGAACTTATATTGGTGATTTCTTTATTTTATCTATCTGATTGAAAAAACGAATTTTCTAAATCAGCGCGTCCTTACTTTGTGTTTTTACTACACTCCATAGTATCTCAATTTAAAAAAAAACAGTCCAGAATCATATCCAAAATTTCTTATAAAAAAGTCTTTAAAAGAAGAACCAATAAAAATAGTTTTGATTAAAGTTTTCAAATTTTAAAAAGTTTTTCTTAAAAGATAAAGTTTAGATAATCGATAGATAAATTCTAAAGTCTTCGCTTTGATGAGCTGCGTCTTCGGCTGCCAGATCTTCCCCTGCTACCCTGAAAGAACAAAATATTTTTTTTCTTGCCTCAATTAGTCAGGTCGAATCAGAGAAAAAGCTAGTTTAAGTTTTCGTTTTCGGTAGAAAAAGATCTCATGTGATACTCTCTTAGGGTCAAAGGCAAAATAAGGGGGACCAGCTCCTTGAAAAAAAAATAGAACTGAAGACAGAACCAACTTCAACCCTGGTTTGGGTATCTCTGCTAGGAAAACCAAAGCCTATCAATAAATTTGATTGGAATGTTTGAAAGATTTCAGTTCGATGCCTGTTTTGTACAACAAACAGTAATATATTGACATAAATAGCTAATTTAAGGTAACGAAGCATCCCTTAACGACATTGGCGACGCACAGAAAGATTATCAGAGCTCCCTTAAAACCCTTATAAAACCTTTGTTTTGGTCAAAAACTTCTGCGCTGCCAAACAATATTTTTGAAAAACGGGCCAAACAATTTATGTAAGATTTGACTAAAAAATTTGCGTGTTTTCAGCGAGCGCTTCCCCTTATTTGTAATGTAAATTCACGCCAAAAGCTCCCTTAAAGAAAATTTATAGTTGGTGGATTTAAAACGGATGTCGTTTATTAGTACTGAAGCCGGAGTTTTTAAACTTTTTTGGCAACTGGAATTGAATTGGCAACTGGATTTGGCAACTGGAATTGAGCTAAACACAAAAAAACGGTTGATGATAGCTGCAAAAATGTTGCAAAAAATTGAAAAACAAAAACATACTTTTTTTGGAAAATTTCATAGATGTGGTCTTTTAAGTGATTGCTTACGAAGAAAAGTAACAGGGCCTAATTTTAGTTTAGTGTAACAAAATATTGAATTTTAATTTTCTTCAGGCACGACAGCGAAAGCTTGAACAACCAACAGAGAAAGCTTTCTTCAGACACGTCAGATGCCGAGCTTGAACAATCGTTATTCGCGAATCGATGAGTTAAACGTTAGCAGTCCATGTATCGAAAATTCTTACATTTATCTGCAGTCCGAATACCCGAGGAAGTGGCGTGCGCAAAAATTATTCTTGGGGTTTTTCAAAAAAAAAATGAAGTTTTGTCAATTTTTTTTAGGTCGACCAATTTGATTTTCCGAGCGAAAACTGTTAGGATCCTATTTTTGTCAACAAAAAATTCTGCGCCGTTGGCAAGTTTTCGAAAAAAAAAGCAGGCTAAAAATGTCGTTTTGAGCACATTTGAAAAATATTTGACCAAAAAATTGCGTTTTTTCAACGCGAGCTCATTTTGGTCATTTGCAGACTAAAGTATTCACAATTGGAAACCTACATCATGATGCGGCCGATATTATTTGCCATTTTATAGATTTCGCGCAAGAAGAAAAGCGTTGCGAACTCTTGCTCTCAAAAAATTGCATCGGCAAGTTTTGCACAGAAAGAAGAGATATCTGCAACATAATGAAGGAGATCCAAGTTTTTTGTTCGCGCATGTTATAAGAGGTCGAATTCTGCATAAATTGACCACAAGTAATTTTCATACCAAAGTTCATAAATTGGAATCAGTCTTCAACTTCAAACAGAGGCCGGCAATATTTAACGCGATTGATCAAATTGATAAGAGTTCTCGATTAAAAATTTCATTGATCGCAATTTATTTAAGTGTGAAAAAATCTGCTTATTTAAAAAATAAGCAAGTACTTCACATCTTTTTAAGCATAATCAATAAATGCAATTTATCTGCTTAATGTGATTAGCGCGATTTTTAATAAGCACTTCTCGGATTTTTTATCACAAATCAAAATGTTCTCTATTGATAATCAGCTTATTCAAAATTTGTTTATAATATGATATGTAGCATGACGAGTCTTACAACTTCTTTTCAAGCAGAAAAGGTAAGTTTGACATTCCTCCTTTTTGTTTTTTTGAGGCAATTTGACATTATTTTTTTTTTCAGTACCGAAACCACTTCTCCAGTTTTGAGTTAGAGAGCACATTATATAAAAAAACGAAAATAAAGAAGTAACTCTTTGTGTCTAGTTTTTTTCAAGCGCTTAAGCTCTTTTGAGCTTGGAGTAAGAGCTCCATAAATTGAAATCGTTAGATCGGAAAAAAGTGGAAACACTTCTAATTTTGCCAAAATTACGATAACATTCTGTCAGAAAAATTTGTTACGCATAAAAGAAGAGGGTTTTCGTTGGCTCCTATTGGATCCTTCAGCACTAATTTACGATATCCATTTTCGACCAAACAACCCTGAGAATGAAACATACCCCCCTCCCCCTCAGAAAACCCTAAATCCTTCACTGTATAAGATATATAATAGGCCAACAAGTCAAAGGGCCAACAAGTCTAAAACAAGATTAACATTCCAACAAATCAGAAACAAAAATTATTATGCAACATAACAGCATATTTTGTCACTGTTGTTATGCAACTTCTACGTAATTCTGATGTAATTAACTTTCTTCTGATGTAATTTTGGCTTCACGATATGGCAATTTGTAGATATTGCGATTTATTGACCCTCTGCCTATATATATGCTTATGAGGCTGTCCTAACAACAGTCAGTGTTATTGTGTAAAATGTGCATTCGTAGACTTTTCGATTGCCTTTTTTTCATTTTTTTTACTTTCAATTTTTAAGCAGTGAAAAAGGTGCACCTTGCTCCAGTAGTTTTCGGGTCCTCCCCTCGACTGCATTCCGATGGTGCTTCCTCCAGACAAGAAGCTCCGCGGGGTGGGAGACTTCCCACCTCTACGAGACTGAGAGCCACTTCTTCCCCGACTTCTACCTCGATTCGATCCACGACTCGGCATTTGGATTCGGCTCAATCCCAAAAATAAATAGTTTTTTTTTGGCCAAAACCTCGACAAATCTGTTTTCTTTAATTGAGATAGTTTGATTTTTAGGTCTCAAATTGATTTTAGGTTAGAAATTTTCTCTTGGCAAATATTTTTTTTCTGGCTGTCTCGCTTTCTAATTCAACGAAAAATGCGTAAGAGGTTGTTATAGAAAATAAGGCCGAAAACTACGGATGTATTGACAATAGAAGTCCATCTATTATAGAGCTTTTTATAGAATGCTTGCCTCGAAAGCAAAATAAAACGTGAACAATAAAACTCAAGTTCAGCTTTTGGGTTCAAGGAAGCAAATAATAAAACCAAAAGAAAATTAAATAGGTAGTTTTGTCAAGTCTTATTATAATTTACTTCTTTCTTATTACCAGGGTTGAGTCTAGACTTTTGATTGTCCTAAAAGTTATTATGTCACAATGATGTATTTAACACTTTTTAATTGCCACTTTGATTAATGACTAAAAAATACAGATATAGAGTAATTTTCTTGCATATTTAACAATATGATAAATGTTTTAACACTATGTTTCCTCTATTTTTCATCCCTTGCTAATATTTTAATTAATTTTTGGGAAAGAATGTCATTAAATTTTATAAACATTAATTTGCATCTCTGTTCACGCTGAACGCGTAAAAAATGTCCGCTAATCGCCGCTTTAAAAATTATCCTACGGTACAAATCTACAATAGTAACTAAGTGAAAAAGAGTGCCTTTGCGGTTCTGGTTCCTCGAGGAAAACAATTATTCTAATTTTTTGAGAATAAAACTGTAAAAATGATTCTGATGTATGCTTTTAAAAACCACTTAGCTTTTACTGTCAGTGTGATTTTGTTCATTTTGTTAATATACGTTATGGGGCTTTTCTTACGAAATTTTTTACATGAGCTTCAATTACTAAAGAAAATCCAGGTTCCCTTTCACTTTGATTTCTGCTAATCAGTTTTTTTGAATACGTAATGCAGAAATTGGCAAACCGAGTGTACGCCCTACTCGATCTTTAAACCTAATTTTTCTCAAAATGCAAAACACTCCATTCCCTTCCCCACATGTTTGCACATGTGACCCCCTTACACCCCCCACGTTTGCCCATCTGTTCTCTACCCCCGCCACCTCCACCACCAGAACCAACCACCCCTGTGTTCATGTTTTTGACACCCTGCTCCTCCCAACAAACATTTTGTCAAAAAAATCTTTTTCGGAAGAATTTGAGCAAAAATTGCTTATTTTCGGCGCGCGCTCTGTCTAAACTAATATTTTCATGCCTACTTGCGAGAAAAAATAATTGAATACAAATTCCTTCAATTTTAAACAAACCCCCAATGTGTATCAATGAAAATGTGAGCATAAAAATTTGCATCTCAAAAAAGTGGGAAAAAACGTTTTCAATGGAATTTCGTTGTCTTTATCTTCAGTGCTGATTTAAACTAACCGGACAAAACGTGTTAAACTTGAAATTTAAAACGCGTTTTTCTCAAATTGGGTTGAGTTTAGGAGAAAAATTATGAAGTTAAACTTGCTTAAAATTTTAGCAGAATTATTATGGTGTAATTTGTTTTGCGAAATTCGGGCCCAAAATTTTACCCCAAAATTGTATCATTTTGGCTTTTCTTAGTTAATTAAAAATTACGCCAAAAGTACCCATTCGATCACAGCCATAATTATATCAAAGTGAGCCCCTTACGTAGCCCAATAAACTTTAAGAAGGGTATATTCTCCAAAACGTTGTATAAATTAATTTATTTTTGCTTGATAGACAAAAAAGGTCGTTTTTACTATATAAAATACCAATTTTTTATTTAAAAACAATTTTTAAACGGTTTGCAATTTTTTTTGAAGAATATACCCTTCTCAAAGTTTGTTGGGCTACGTAAGGGGCTCACTTTGATATAATTATGTCTGTGATCGACTGGGTATTTTCGGCGTAATTTTTGATTAACTAAGAAAAGCCAAAATGACTCAATTTTGGGGTAAAATTTTGGGCCCGAATTTCGCAAAACAAATTACACCATATTAATTCTGCTAAAAGTTTAAGCAAGTTTTCTCTTCATAATTTTTCTCCTAAACTTAACCCAATTTGAGAGAAACGCGTTTTAAATTTCAAGTTTAACACGTTTTGTCCGGTTAATTTAAATCAGCACTGTATAAAAGAGAAAATAATCAGATTATAGATATGATTTGCAGTGGATTTTAATGCCTTATTAATTAATAGCATTATATTCCATTTTCAATTGATTGCTATTGGTATTTTTCATTTTTATGGACGCTGACAAAAAACTCAAGTTTAACTGATTTTTATGCATAGAAATCCAGTGCGGGGCGTATTGAGAGAATCTTTGATAGAGTTAATTTAACAGTCTTTTAATTTGCATTGATGTATTTACTTAAAACACTACTGCAGAAATACCACTTAAAGAGACTCCTGATGAACACTTATTAATTTCAAACAAGAGCCCAATTGAAAAAACTGCTCTAAGCTCGTGAAAAATTCGTCAATCTTTTTCTATGAGTTTATAAATATTTTGGGATTTCACTTAGTAAGTTTGACATTAAAAGAAGTCGGCGCTTCAAACTGTATTGCGCTATTCTTTGTTAAAAATTGAATTTTATCTAGACTGATCTATCGTACTTAAAAGTTTTGATTTATTTTTGGTTTTTGTCTGATTTCTTTGAATTTCAACGTCCTTGAATTTCAACGTCACCTGAAAAAGTATAAAGATAAGACCTGTTTTTCCTGGTCTGGTGCTCAAAATTTTTTTATTGCGCAATAGTCCAATAAATGTGATCAGTAAAGCCACTTGTCGTTTTTTGAGGTCTCATGGGTTTTGTATCAATAATTCCAATTATTAAACAAAGGAATCTGTTAGCTTTGTATGTTTTACGAGTTTTAAATTTATTAAATTGAAAACTTCGAAACAAATTTTTTTTTGCTTGAAAGACATCAAAACTATTCGTTTTAAGGCAATGCACTGAATATTCCGACTGAATTTTAGGGTCGACGTTGTAGTGTTTGTTTTGAAAAAAATGATGAAATTTCAAGAAAAATGTCTGTTTTACACGCTGTATGCAAAACAAAATTATACTTTTCTCTTGCAGCAATTTTTAAAACAGATTAAATAGCATGCGTCAACTAAAACTGGATGTGTCAAGATAAGATGTGTCGAACTGGTTTTAAAAATAAATCATTCTAGGGTAGTTTTTCTATGGTTACGTAGCAAAAAGTAGACCAGACATTAAGTAGAAAAACACGGTTTTAACCCTTAAGATTCCAGATACAAAAATCAAATGTACAAAGTATATCCTTTTACATTTCTCTTCTGCTCAATTGCTTTTGTATATCCATTTTGATTTGTTGTTCTGACCATTGAAATTGTGGAGGAACTATGTATTGCGTTTTAGTTTTTTTCTTTTTTTTTTATTATCCACGCAAAAATCAGGTACCACGAATAATGATCGGACTGGGTTGAGTGATATATCATATTAAAGCCCTAACAGTCGTGCTTTGAACCACAATTTAAAAAGATAATATTAAAGTTTTTCCTGTGTAAAGAGAAACCGGTTTGAAACTTTTGTTTTTTGTCTTATATCGAGCGAATAAAGCGAGCGAGCAGTCTTATTATGGTTTTTATAATAGCTGAATTTAAAATGTAGAAACTTAGTTTTGCTTGGGTAGCGTTAGTTTACTTTGAGTGTTTTCACTCCTTTTTGGAATCTTGTTGTTCCGATTTTCGATACGAAAGTAACGGATTATTTGTGCTCGGGGTGGGTTTTTTTATTCAGACAAATTTCGACTTTTTAACTAGCCATTTTCGACAAAAACTTTTTATATCATTCAAAAGGTATTGTTGTCCTGAGCTTAAATTTGAAAAGATATTTCACCTGTGATCATTTTCAGTAAAGTTATGAGGGTTTAAAGATTGCCATTTTGGACATTTTGACCAATTTGGGACAATTAACGCGCGATATAATTCGCGCTATTAACGCGTGAGCGGAGATTTATTCCGTCTAAGAAATCGTTCCAAATTGGTTAAGGGAGAA